TAAGCGCTTACCAAAGTGTGTGGCATCTTGCACCTGTATGATTGTGATTACAGGCAAGCCACATTATCATTATCATCCTTTCACACAGCCTTGCTTGCCTTCCTGCCATATCACATTTCTTTTCTCACTCACGGACCATGTGAGTTTGGCACATTTTCCATCCAGGACTTTTTGCACCCACCAGACCTCAAACCTTCACAGATTCCTTCCTATGCTGCTGTATAAATACCATACTAGCTGTGCATCACCGTAATCAGTTGTCTGAAGATTGCTATATGGCATGAAACTTTAAGTTACGACAATCAAGACGCGTGGTTTTCCTGTGACTTGTGTGTTACTGCTCTGCTTCCGCATTGAGCACTCTATCGATCCGGAGGACTCCGCTATTTGTATCCAACAGATAGAGAAATGAACAGCATCTGGTACAGCCCACACAAAACCAAGCTGACCTGATACTCGTCCGAAGATCGTAAGTGGCAGATCCTTTTCAACGATAGCATGCAGGTGTACGTTACACGCATGGACAAAATCTGACCGTGTCACCGGCATACATTGTCATCACATGCATGTAGACATCTATTCAGTCCCTCACAAGACAGCCATTGTGCTAAACAGATCTTCTTTAGTTCTCTATCAGAAGTGCGCCATGTCATCTCTCTCGTGCTATACATAAAGCGGTACAAGCACGTGCATGCCTGCACGTGCGTACATAGTACTACAATACAACTGCATGTACGATATCTACATTACCCGGTACCCCCCTTCCCTCAAAAAGAAAAAAAGAAGAAAGAGAAAAAAGGAAAACAAAAACAAAACAAAAACACTTGCATCCGTATCCTGCAGCTTGCAGAGGAATGTACGTGCATGTGTTGGAGTAAAAGAGAGACGGGAAGTGTTGCAACTATTAGAAATAATCTGACTCAAAACTTGAGGCAAAAACACCATGAGTTTGAGTTACCGGCAATGCAAACTCGACCAATAAGGGGAAAAAAATAAAGAAAAATCTAAATATTCACAAGGTCGTTAGAAGATTCTAAACAACGCCAATCTGGTAGCGATTGAAGCCACTCATTTGGTAATGCATGACTCGACGACTCAGATGTCAGCTTCACGTGCTTTCTCTGTAACTTTGTAAGCTTGATCTGACGGCCAGCTCTGGTCTGTACGCCCTCGCGGAATACACTTGGACGAGATGTTGGCGGTGACAGTGACATACAGGCCGGTGTTGCAGGTGGTGCTGTCGTCTCCGGTGAAGCTGCAGGAGACAACGGCAATGTGAGCGCAGTTACCGGAGCTTCGGGCCTGGATGCTGCGCTGCTCGCTGACGGAAGGCTTGTTGGGTCGGACACTGGCAGTGCTGGAGCACACACTGGCTCTGGCACATGCTCCCTCTCTGACTGTGCCGGAGGTTCACTCATGGGTGCTTTCTCCGCTGCTGCTGCTGCTGCTGCTGGTGCTACAAACTCGGTGACATGCTGACGGTTCCGGAGCAGTATGCGTGACCCATCAGTGACCCCAACCTGACGACCATACTGCTCTACTACCTTCCATTCTTTTCGAGGGTCGCTATACCCATCATGGAGCACTACCCGCGTACCTGATGGCAAATGGGGTAACTTGCGGACACCTCGGCGCGAGTCATGACCTTCAACCATTGCTGCTTTCGCCTTGATCTGCTCAGATGGGTTGACGATCTGTGGGGTGATGGATGCTGAAACCCGTGTCCGAATGACTCTGCTGAACAACGCTTCGCTCGGCGATGTACCTAGCATCCGGTGCCGCGAATTGCGAATGTCGAACAAGACTTGAGTGATGCGGCGGTGTAGCGGTAGATGAGGTCTCAGACTGGCAACTCGTTCTTTCACCAGACGATGTAGTCGCTCCACCATACCGTTAGAGCGGGCATACCGGGGGCTAGACTTGCAATGCTCAACACTCAACTGAGCGAGAAACTTGGACATCTCAGTGGATGTAAACTGTGGGCCCCAATCCGAGACGAGTGTTGAAGGCAGACCAAACCGTGCGAACAACTCCATCAGCTTGTCGATCACACCCGTTGTCGTAGTATTGGACAGTGGTAGAAGCTCTGGCCAGCGGGAACCATAATCAATAGCAGACAGGAACGTGGCTCCCTCAATGGTAACAAGATCAATGGCCAGTTTCTGCCAGACACCTTCTATCTCTGTAGGGAGGAGCTGTTGCGCTGGATTGGAGCGTTTACGCCAGCATTCAGAGCATTTCTCTGCAAACAGATTGGCATCCTTCATGAGACCTGGCCACCAAACCCGTTCGCGAAGGGTATCCCGGAATGCATCGAATGCCTGGATGACCTTCATGTGCTAGTCGCAGCACCGCTGGGCGGAGCTCTTCTGGAATGACGTAGCGATTGTCTAGCATGACAATCCCGTCAATGACTGTCAGCTGATGGCGTAGCAGGAAGTAAGGCTCTTCCGTTTGGATGCACCCTGACCAAACTGATGTGCCCACTCTTTGTCGGACGCTGCTCAGTGTCGGATCAGAGTCCGTGGCCTGGCGAATATCCTTGGAACGAACCGGACAAGCCTCGAGAATGAGACTAACGAATTCCGCCATTGAACGTGCCTCTGCAGGTGAAGCTGTGCGATCAGGTAGAGGAGCTCGAGAGAGGGTGTCAGCACAAACCATCTGCTGACCAGGGACGAACACCAAGCTGTAGCGATAGGGCATCAATGCGACCAGCCATCTCTGAAGCCTCGGTGGCACTTCGTCGAACGGCTTCTGGACGATAGAAATAAGCGGCTTGTGATCCGTAAACACTTGCACTTCTCGGCCTAGTACATACTGCCGAAAGCGAGTCAGGCCGAATACCACTCCCAGCATCTCTCGTTCCAGCTGAGAATAGCGTGACTCAACATCTGATAGAGAGCGACTGGCACATGTCACTGGTACCCAACAGCCACTGGTATTCTTCTGCCACAGGACTGCTCCCAAACCGTCTGGCGATGCATCACAGCTGATAGCAGTAGGGACGTCCAATGCTGGTTGAAAGAATGCCAACGCTTGCAAAGCTGACGCTATACCAGCCTTTGCTGAGGTGAATGCCTGCAGGACTTCATCATCCACACTGAAGGGATCACGCTTTGCTAGCCTGCGCAGAGAAGCCGTGATCTGGGCCAAGTTCGGAATGAACTTTCCAAGGTACGTAGCCATCCCCAGGAACCGTCGCACATCAGAGATAGATTTCGGAGGGGCCAGCTCCTGGATGGCTTGTAACTTGTCATCATCTGGGGACAAGCCGGTCGCACTTAGCCAATGTCCCAGATACTTCACACGGTCCTGGTTCAGTCGGCACTTGGTCCAGTTGAGTTGGAGGTTAGCTGCTCGCAGTCGCTGCTTGACTGCTTCTAGCCGTGCATCGTGTTCTGCTTGAATGGAGCCAAACACTAGGATGTCGTCGATGTAGACGATGACTCCTGGCAGGCCTTCCAGAATGTCGGACACCACTCGCTGGAAAATCTCAGGCGCACATGCAATACCGAAAGGTAAACGCTTGAAACGGAACAGGCCACAGTGCGATGAGAAAGTCGTTAGAGGCCTTGCTTCTTCTGACAAGAGTAGCTGATGGAATCCAGATTCCGCATCCAGAACTGAGAAGACCCCTGCGCCATCAAGCTGAGCTGTGATCTCGTCAACGGTTGGAAGAACGTTGCGCTCACGTGTAACTCTCTTATTCAGTTCTCTGTAGTCCACGCATAGTCGCAATGCTCCATTCGGTTTGCGGACTGGAACAAGTGGTGACACCCACGGCGTGGCTTCCTTGACGGGTTCAATGATATCCAACTTGGTCAGCCGTTTCAGCTCGGTCTCGCTGTCAGCCCGGATACTGAAAGCTGGGCGTCGTGGTGGCTGGGCTAGAGGCTTTGAACCGTCTTCCAGAGAGATTTCGATGGGTGACACGTTCACCACGTTTGCTTGTGACAGGAGGTTCAGCTCCTTGATGACATCCTGTCCGAAGAGAACGGAGTGCTGACTGGCTGCTACCACGAAACAACTGCACTTCACGTTCTTGCCACCATGTGAAATGTGGACGTCAGCCATGCCCAAAGTCTCTACGACACCGCCATTGTACGCTTTCAGCAAGCGGTCACTCTTGCGCGTGGGCTTGATCACATCATCAGTGAGGATCGTCCGAGTTGCACCTGTGTCTAACAGTCCAGTGCACAGCTCACCATTGACTTTGAGTGTAGTCTGGAATGTCTTGTCGCCTGCGAGTGCCGAGCTACTGACGGCGAAAGCGGAGTCGTACATGCGACTTGCATGCTCATACTCATCAGGCTCATCCTCTACTGGCCGGGCTCTTTCTTCGTGTCTTTCCACTTTGTTTGACATGCAGACCGCTGCAAAATGCCCTCGCTTGCCACACTTGTTGCAGGTGACGTTGGCCGCAGGACAGTTACGCATGCCTGGTTTGTGACTACGTCCGCAGTATTTGCACTTCTTTCCCTCTGATCCAGAACCAGCTGCAGAGACAGCTTGCACACGCTGGATGGGCACGGGGAACACAGGCGGTGCGTCACTAGCTCTGGTACTATCGTACAGTTTACTGTCAGTAATCGACGCTTCCAACGCCACTGACTTGATGACGGCGTCGTTCAGGGTCAGCTTCGACTGTTTCAGCAGCTCCTTTCGAAGCTCAACAGAACGCAGGCCCACGATCAGCTGGTCTCGAATTTGGCAGTTGACAACGGTATCCACAGAAGTGGAGCTGAACTCGCAAACATCTGCCTTTTCTCTCAGCCGCCCAACGAACGAAGTCACCGACTCGCCCTCCATTTGGCGGAGTTGGCGGAATTTGTGACGTTCAGACGTGACATTTGTTGACGGTCGAAAATGTGCCAACAATGCGTCCGTCAAGGCTTGGTACTCATCTCCAGGTGAGCCATCTTGTGTCTGCTCCACCGTGACAACCAGACCTTTCACAATGCGCCTCACTGCTAAACCAGCCAGATTCAAGAACAAGCGTTTCTTGTCAGCTGCTGCCGTCACTTCACTGATTGAAAGGAAATCATTTATGTCCTCGAGCCAGAGTTCAAAATCAGCACCGACGTTGCTCGCAGCATAGTCAGGAATAAATTCCTTGGGCGTCCTGCCCTTTGTCATTTTCGTTCACTGCGCCAATGTAGACATCTATTCAGTCCCTCACAAGACAGCCATTGTGCTAAACAGATCTTCTTTACTTCTCTATCAGAAGTGCGCCATGTCATCTCTCTCGTGCTATACATAAAGCGGTACAAGCACGTGCATGCCTGCACGTGCGTACATAGTACTACATACAACTGCATGTACGATATCTACAATGCATACCCCACAAGTTACACACATGCACAGTAGAAGCACAATAAAAGCAATGGAAAAATATGAAGGGGTTGCTGAAGCATCTTCGCACTTCAAATTCAGACTTCGATGTGGTCGTCACGGGATGATGTACCTGCAAGATACAAGTGATGCAGAAATAAAGCATAAGGTCGTGAGGTAGGCTATGAGACACCACAAATGGGTCACCTACATGTATGTTCAGGGCTGGTGTACACACACACACGCAGAATTGTCATCATCGAGAATTTCCCAAACTGAGAAGAGCAGTGAAATCCACTTGCATGCACAGGAGCAATTTTGCAGTATGATGCGCAGCTTGGGAATACACCTGTTGAAAATCATCGGGGTTACATTCCCATTGGAATTCCCATTCATGTGGGATTCACAGAAGCAATTTGGCAGTGTGCTGCGCAATGCGACACGACCTGCGATTCTGCGTGCGATGCAAACTCGCACAAAATACCATTCACAGAATCACGACAAGACGTCAGCGATGCAACAGCGCCTGCTGACGTGCCTCAAGTCAAAGCTCAATGAGAATGCGTTTGTCGGTTACAACTGGTACAAATGTACAAGCAATTTCTGAAAATGCTCCTGTGAATCCTCCTTTAATTTAAGCAGTGCAGGAATGTCCCTCCTCCGCTCTCTCCCCCCCCCCCCCTCCACACCCTCAGGGAACTTGGCAAGGAACGGTGGTCTTCGCGGTTCCCAACATCTATTTGCAGTTTCTGGTCTCCACTATGTCTTTTCAATGGGATTTGTACGTACCATAAACGCAAGTCTAAAATGAACAGCACATTTGCCGTTCCCCCACTGGGGAGGATGCGTTCCACAGCTATCCTGACAAGATATTCCGAGAAGCGGTGCTGAGTGCAATGCATTAGGGAGGTTCTGCTCTACGTTTTCGGAACGCGACGCAAAGAATCACGCGAACTTTCTTCGCGTTCCCGTAACGTAAAGAAATTGTCATGACTGCGCAGTCATGAACTTACTATTTCCCACTTTTCCCACGTCGTGCATTATTGTACACATTTCGCGTATGCATGCTTTGACCCCTACTATCTCTTACACTTAGTTACAGCCATATCTGTTGTAAGTTCAAACGGGAGTTCAAACTCTCGCTCCTTTTGGACGCCTTACGTCATAATCGTTTACCGTGTTTTTAGAGCGGAGAACAGTATTTCTTCTTGGTCTAGTTTTCTGGTTTTTTGGTATGGAAGTTGTGTCCGGTTAGACCTTCTTCTCGTTACAGTGTTTTCGATAATAGCACTTGATAGGATGAGATTTTCAATGTTCTGGACGACTTAGAAAGATGTAGTGTACACGACGAAGAAGAGGAGTGGGAGCGTAAATTTAATGTGTCTTGGCGCATTTTTGAAGATGCCCAGATAGCTGTCGACCAAGTCGTATTTGAAGAGGAGAAATTGAAGCGTCAGTCCCAATCCGCCATTCTGGCTGCTCAGCAACAGCACCAGAAAGCCTCAGTGACTTCAGTGGATGCCACCACCAATAGTGCCAGTGCCACTGAGGACATACCAGTAGTTGACGAGGAGGCGCATCAACAAACAGCAGTGCAGCTGGAAGAAGATTCTAGAGACCAGAACGAGTCTCCAGCTATGATCAGTGTAGATGGCATCCGACGAGCATCGTCAAGTCTCAGTATCCACAGTGCACCAACAACGCTGTCCACCATTGAGGTGGCGGCACAGGCAGCAGTAGCAGCCATGCAAGCTGCACGCTCCAGTCCAGTGGTGAAACTTCCTCAGCTGAAACTGTCTCAGTTCAATGGAGACATCATGGACTGACCAGAATTCTGGCAGACATTTGAGTCCTCTGTTGGTCTTCGTCAATCGTTGCCAGACGTATCAAAATTCACGTACCTCAAAAGCGTCCTGACGGGTGTCGCCGCAGCAGCCATCGAAGGCATTCCAATAACAGCAGCTAACTATCCTATCGCAGTTACGATGCTGAAGGACAAATTTGGACAGCCTGAGCTGATAGTGGCAACACTGTATCGTAAACTGGCACAGCTGCCACAATGTAACAACAGGTTTACTGAAGTGAAGGCTACCATTGACCAAATGGAGAAACTCCTTCGTCAATTGGAAGCTCAGGGAGAGAACCTTGATACTCAGCGCGTCCTCATTCAGCAACTCTTCTCGAAGTTCCCGTTCCAGCTCGTCAGCAAACTGGAGGAGCAGAGATCCGACCATACTGTGCCATGGACGGTCAAAACAGTACGGGAGATGCTAGCGAAGTATGTAGCAATGCAGAACACAGTTCGTCAGTTCACCGACAACATCAGCCAGACACCTCAGCCTAAGATACATGGACACCAGCAACAACACCATCGTCCACCAACAATGGGATTCGTATCCAGCCAGGCAAGCCCCAGAAGAGAACCGTCCTGCGTCTTCTGTCGGTCAAGCCATTTCAGTGATGAGTGTACCAACTACTCAACACTGGATTCCAGGAAGGATCAACTGTTGTCCCTACGTAGGTGCTTTGTGTGCCTCAAAGAAGGCCATATCGCAAGGAATTGTGCACACCGTAGTAGAAATTGCTACCACTGTAGCGGAACAGGCCACAGTCGTGCTATTTGTCCCAAGAAGGGTCAACAATATAATCCAGCAGTCGAAGTTCCGAAACACCAGCAAACAAATTCACTGGCCAATGGCAGTCCACAGACAGCAGCAATCGCAGCTTTGTCACCGGCAGAGATGCCAAGCCAAGAGCCGGCGGCAATTCCAGATGAAACCACGGAACTAGCCACCACGAGCGTCTCAACACTGAAAGCAGTTATTCAGTCAGCCATGCTGCAAACCGCTAAGTGTAACGTGACTGACCATTGTGGGAAGAAGGTCATGGTCAACGCACTACTGGACAGTGGCAGCCAACGATCGTTCATCACTGCAGCTCTAGCTAAACGACTCCAGCTACCAGTCGAGAATGAAGAGAGGCTCTACCTGAACACCATGGCAGCAACTAAGTCCAAGAGCTTCAATTCGCAATCGTTCCAACTCGCTGTCAACCTCCGAGACGGTAACATGGCACAGATAATGGTGAATACTCTGCCTACCATAACCAACCCAATTGTGAAACAAGCCGTGCAACAGACCGACTTGGCGTTTCTTGAACAGCTGTCTCCAACAGCGCTAGCAGATTCTGTGCCTCACGCAATGGAAACTGTCAACATCGACTTTCTAATTGGTGCTGGCTACTTTTGGCAACTGGTGGGCAATAATGTTATCACACTGCCATCAGGACTCAAGCTAGTCTCCTCCGAATTTGGATACCTGCTCACCGGCTGCAGTTCACTACCGGATGAATGCAGCAATGATGACACGACCTCCCTGGTGGTTACCAGCAGCGGTTCGATTTTCTCAGGAGCTGCAAGCGTCTCCAACCGTAACACAGAGGACAGTGTACTGTCTCAATTCTGGCAACTGGAGAATATCGGAATCAAGGATTCACCCTACGCGAATGATGACGAAATCGCACTGGCGCAATTTCGCAAGACAACGGAATATTCCGATGGCAGGTATTCCATCCAATGGCCATGGAAGCCTGATGACACCAAAGATCAACTTCCTAGCAACTACGGCTTAGCCCTTGGCCGAATGAAATCACTGGCCAAACGACTCGCTACAGACGGACAGCTGCTCGAGAGTTATGACAAGGTGATCCGACAGCAGCTAGCTAAGGGAATCATTGAAGAAGTTCAACTTTCCGGAACCAGTGGTAAACAACACTATTTGCCACACCACCCCGTTGTGACACCAGCGAAGTCAACAAAGGTCAGGATAGTGTATGATGCATCAGCCAAAGCGAGTGCAACATCTCCAAGCCTGAACGACTGCCTCTACCGTGGCCCAGTGCTACTCCCTGACCTCTGCGGCCTGCTAATGCGTTTCCGTCTCAAGCCAATTGTGATTAGCGCTGACGTAGAGAAAGCATTTCTTCAAATTTCTATTCAGCCAAGTGACAGGGACGTCACCCGATTCATCTGGTACAAGGACTGTACCACACCTGAGAAGGTTAACGGCAATGTCACAGCGTACCGTTTCTGTCGAGTGCCGTTCGGTGTAGTCTCGAGCCCATTTCTGCTCGCTGCTACCATTCAGCTGCACCTCACACAGGCCCAGACCGATGTGTCTGGTGCTATTGCACGTGATCTGTATGTGGACAACCTAATAACCACGGTCTACTCCCCAGAAGAAGGTATTCATCTCTACAAGGAAGCCAAGCAGCTGTTCTCAGATGCATCCATGAATCTACGGGACTGGACCTCCAACTCCGACAAAGTGTTGGACAAGATTCAGGAAATCGACCGATTGCCATCAGCATCTACCAAAGTCCTTGGGCTCAAGTGGGATAGCAAAGCAGATAACATCGCCGTGTCCAACAGCATCAATGAGAAATCAGTCGGTCCAGTCACAAAGCGCAGCGTGCTGAACAAAGTGGCAAGCGTGTTTGACCCACTCGGATTGATGACACCATCTACACTGCAAGGGAAGCGGTACCTTCGTCGGCTATGGGAGGAAGGTCTGGAGTGGGATGCCCCATTGTCCGCACCAATGCTCCTGGAGTGGGACAACATCCAATCAGCACTCCGGCAGACGACGACCGTCACCATTCCAAGGTTCATTGGTCCTGCGAGTGCAAGTCAACCGATGAGTCTACATATCTTCACAGATGCATCCAAGGATGCATATGCAGCAGCAGCTTACCTCCAAGTGCAGATTCCGGATTCCAACAAGTACACGGTGAATCTCATCTTCTCCAGATCCCGACTGACCCCGTCAGCCAACAAACCGTCCAAGAAGCAATCAGTCACCATTCCTCGTATGGAACTGCTCGGCGTGGTCATCGGATTCAGGATGGTCAAGTTCATCCAATCCCAGCTTCAATTTCAGAACAACATCCCAACATACCTCTGGACTGATGCCAAGTGTGTTCTCCACTGGCTCACAACGCCCCATCATCTCTCAACATTTGTTGCCAATCGTGTGAAGGAAGTGAAATCCAATCAGCAGCTACAGTTTCGTCACGTTCAGTCCCAGGACAACCCTGCAGACATAGCAACACGCGGTCTTCAGCCAGAGGAGTTGAAGGAGTCTTCTCTCTGGTGGCAGGGTCCTGCATGGCTAGCAGGAGACAAAGAGGACTGGCCAACAGGAAAACTGATCGTCACGCAAGAAGACATTGCAGAAGCAGACAAAGAGAGACGCTCCCCTCTCATTACAATTGGGAACACAGCTGCCGTCATCAACGACAGCACAGAAACGTATTCGCTTCAGGCAGCAGAACAACGTGTTTCATCCCTCAGATCGCTCTTGAGGACTACAGCAATCTGCCTCCGTTTCATTGGCAAAAAGATCTGGAGCAAGGTCAGTAGCAGCACACGAGAGAAGCTACGGCCAAAGATTCCCCTCGCAGCAGTGGTCTTTGATGATGCTTCGCGCACCAAGTACGTAGCAGCCAGTGATCTCAGCATCGCAGAGAAGATCATCATCAGACAACACCAACGACAGAACTTCACAGATGCGTTCAAAGCTATAGACAGCGGTACTCGTCACCCCCTTCAAGACCAGCTCGGACTTCGCCTGGATGCTGAAGGACTGCTAAGATGCCATGGAAGGCTAGACAATGCTCAGCTACCTGAAGATGCGACTCGCCCTATGCTGATATCCCGACACAGTAAGCTAAGTAGTCTGATCATCCGGGAAGTTCATGCGCGTCTCATTCATGCCGGAGTGTCTCACACACTTGCCCAGATTCGACAGAAGTACTGGCTTCCACAAGGGCGAGCAGCTGTGAAAGCCGTTCTGAGTAAATGTGTCATTTGCCAGAAACACGAAGGGCAACCGTTCCGTCTACCCCAGATGCCACAGCTACCAGCAGAACGAGTACAGCAGTCTCATCCATTTCAGTACATCGGCCTCGACTATCTCGGCCCATTCAGCGTCAACATCAGCAGTACAACACAGAAGGTATGGGTGTGCCTCTTCACCTGTATGGCAACCCGTGCGGTTCATTTGGAAGTAGTGATGGGATTAACAACGGCCCAGTTCGTCAACTGTTTGAAACGATTCATTGCCAGGCGAGGACGACCTGACAAGATCATCTCAGACAATGCGCCACAGTTCAAGTTGGCACAGACGTACCTCGATCAGAAGTGGAAAAAGATCCTAACCTGCCCTGAGCTGGCCTGCTACCTTGCAGAACACAAGGTAACCTGGGTTTTCACCACTGAGTTTGCACCGTGGCAAGGCGGTTTCTATGAGCGACTAGTTGGTCTGGTGAAGCGAGCTTTCCACAAAGCCATTGGCCGCAGTCGATTCACCTACGAGCAGTTCAACACAATCACAACGGAAGTTGAGGCAATGCTCAACACACGCCCATTGACGTATGTACCGTCAGAGTCGACAGATGGAATCATCACGCCAAACCACTTCATTGCCCCAACTCGCTCACTGGGACTTCCTGACGATATCCAGTCAGATGACTACATGCCCCAACGAGATCCAGTCGCTACTATTACGTCGCTGCAGAAGAAGCAGCAAGCTGCACTGGGCACGTTCTGGAAGTTGTGGAGAGATGACTATATCCTTGCACTTCGCAGCCGACAGCCAATCAACCATCGTCTCAGGAGGAGCCGAACCACTGATCCCAAGATTGGCGACATGGTCATGATCAAGAACGACCAGCTACCACGTGGAATGTGGAAGATGGGAAAAATCAGAGAACTGCATGACAGCGCGCAGGACGGCAAGACTCGTTCGGCGACAGTACAGACGACCAACTCCATCCTGAACCGACCGATCAACCACCTCTACCCGCTAGAAGTGACCGCAACGGAGGAGAAGGAGAACACTGATGTCATCGACAACGGCAGCACTGATGTTGCTAGCAGCAGGCCTCAGCGCGTGGCCGCCCAGAAGGCAAAGGAAAGGCTCAATGCACAAATGCAGGCTGAGCTGGTGTCTGTAGCTTTCACCTTTGTTTCTACGTATGTATGTATGTAGACAGTATATATTCCATTGTCTTTTAATATTCAATGTCACAGTAAAATAGTTTGTTTCTTTTGTTCCTCGGGAGTGTCATGACTGCGCAGTCATGAACTTACTATTTCCCACTTTTCCCACGTCGTGCATTATTGTACACATTTCGCGTATGCATGCTTTGACCCCTACTATCTCTTACACTTAGTTACAGCCATATCTGTTGTAAGTTCAAACGGGAGTTCAAACTCTCGCTCCTTTTGGACGCCTTACGTCATAATCATTTACCGTGTTTTTAGAGCGGAGAACAGTATTTCTTCTTGGTCTAGTTTTCTGGTTTTTTGGTATGGAAGTTGTGTCCGGTTAGACCTTCTTCTCGTTACAGTGTTTTCGATAATAGCACTTGATATGATGAGTTTTTGATGTTCTCACGACGGAGACGAGGGACTGTGATCACAGCCACCGTTGAACTGCCCTGGAGTGCAGTAGTAATAGTATTTTAGACCCCCTTATTTTCCCTCGTTTATGTCCGTTCGTGACAGAAATGCTGTTCTGCTCTACGTTTCACCTAGAGAAGTCACGTGGAATGTGTACTGGGGATTTCCCCTTCCATATTTGGCAGTTTTCTGCATGCAGTTGATCGATACCCAGCAAATCCATACGCATTTTCTCTGCGTGTGCCAGAGCGTAGAGAACCCCATCTCCGCATAGAAATCTGGAGCCAAAACACGCGAAGCCGTAGACTTTAACCCAGACACCTGCTCTCTACGTGATTTCTCTACGTTTCACATAGCAGAACCTCTCTATTATTGTGAAACTGAAAAAGCTGACCAAGCGCATCTAACGTCTAAACCTCTAGTTCGCCAGCTGACTACTTTCAGACTCCATGGCATGTAGGTCCGAGTACATCTGGCTTAAAAGTTGACAACAACGGCGCACGCACATAAGCAACGGCCATCTTACCTGTACTGTAGCAGTACTTCCGAGTTCCCGTATGGGAGTTCCCTCACTGTGTGTGCAATAGCAGCCTCATCAGACCAGTTCAATGCGACGCGGACAGTCCGACACTGAGGAAGACATTGAAGAAGTCAGAGACAGGAAGAATGGTTGATTTACAACTCAACTAGCAAGGCTGCACACCCACGAAGTTCCACTCACCATTGTGCCGTCCTTCTTGGAATGCAGAAATAACGCTTCTTCTCGAGAACACAGCCTGTGACAGAGAAAAAGGAAGGAGCATCGCCATCGGCATTGGTCCTCTGCTATTGCCGAGTTGCACAGTTCACTTTAACCAGACTGAGGACGTTCAAGAACTCCCCATCCATACCACCATCATTGGAGTAAGGGGAAAGGTCAGATTGCCTATAATTCCACCCAGCATTCCTGGATGCCAGGATGTGCTGCCCCCCCCCCCCCGCAACTCCCTTCTACTGCCTGGAAAGGGCAACATATGTGACAGCGTTCACCAGTACAGTCGGAGGAGAACATGGGAGAAGGCAAAGAAGGGCAACACACATGAATCCCTTATAAACAAGCAGTGGCAACTCTAGCACCAGTAATGTTGGACTTACATCCCAGCCATTGCCGCCGGATTCAGCGGCTTCTTCTTCTTCGTCTCCCACCTTGGAAGCACTCCTTCGAGCTTCCCGTAAGTTCAGTCCTGGGAGTACAGTCGGAGGAGGACGTCAGAAAAGCCAAAAAGGCAACACACATAATCGATTCCCTTATAAGCAAGCAGTGGCAACTCTAGCACCAGCGATGTTGGACTTACATCCGAGCCATTGCCGCCGGATTCCCACGCTTCTTCTTCGTCGTCTTCCAGTTCCCAGGTTCCATCTTGCAAATACTCCTTCCCGTAAGTAAGTGCAGTCCTGGCCTGGGTGGATGCGCAGTACATTGACGATGGCGGAGATGGAGCAGGTCAGGGAGCCCTATAGGGGTCCCGAGAGCAGATTGCGGCCAAATTCGGGACGATGCCGGACGCCAGTCAGTATGAAGTAGCGAATTGCGGACCGCCACGTAGATTGGGGTCGCGGGGTCATAATCCACGGGCACTACTCGTACGTTGCTCCAAAAAGGGCACTGCACTGTTCCACAGTTGCTGTTAGCGGTCGCCAAAGGCACTTGGTAGGCCGGTAATTGGGTCACGGGTCAACAAAGTGTCAACAACGTGTCAACAACGTGTCGACCACGTGTCTTTAGCGGTACACTAATTTTGGTGTCCCCAAACTGAAAACATCGAGCACCAGAGGCTTTAGACAGAAAGCCTTTCCAATTATGTTTTGCATCTTTTTTGCAACTTGTGGGTAAAAATGCATCCCCGGGGAAAAATTGCAACTTGGGGTATATTTTGCCCTTTTCCATGCCCAAAGCAGGAATTCACTCCTCACGACCCCAGTCGAAAACATGAGGGTGTCAAACAGCCAGACCTCACAACTACCAAGTAGTTCAGGCGCCGAAGATTCACTGATTTTATAGTGGAACTACAAGTTACTTCAGGACAATGTTTATGTGTCCTTGAACACACTATCAATGTTACATGCTTTATAAACCAATACCACAGGTGTCTAAGAATAGTTTTTGGTTTCGATAACTTTACCAGTGCCTCTCATATTCTTAGCCTATACAATCTCTCTCACATTTCTGTCAATTTGAAGCTTTTTATTCTTGTATTTCGCTCTGTCCATAGCGGCACATGTAGCTCTCTCCTAAAAGAAATTTTCCATACCCGCTCCTCCAGTGCACATACTACTGCCGTCACTAGGTCCCAAATCTCTTTTTCTCTGGCCTTGCCTTCTGCCCACACTAAAGCTGGTTTTTCTCGTCTTGGCTACATACATGTAGGTTCTGATCGGTGGAATATGCTGCCTTCCACTGTTCGCTCTTGTACAGATTATCGCCCATTTGTTCGTTCATGCTTAACCTTTCAAGGGGCTCCCGTAAGAAGACCATAGGTCTGTGGGAAACACCCTAGTAAAATAAATAAAATATTAATAATAATAATAATTTCAGAACTAAATATTGCGACAGAGCTTTCGGCCATATTTTCAATTCATTGCATTCCCAACTCATCCCGCTGTCGATCCTGTTGACGGGCGGACAGGTCGGTGTGAATCCTGAACGGCAACCGAGCCTGTCGCGTTGGGGGATCTCGGCGGTGAGTCTCGCCTCGCCTGCATACATGGACATTGCAACATCATAATAATAAACAACATACATGTACTTTCCATTGGCATCAGTATTCCGCGTCAGGTTTTCGTCGCTTGTGTGGTGTGTTTCTCCACCAATGAGCGCGTACTATGATTATTTATCGCTGTTCTCACACTTTACCATTTTAGCAGCTTGCATATGCCATTGATATATGTGGAAAGCGCGCATTTGCGCCATTTCTGGTGTATAAGAATGATCATTCCTCCTTTATCATCATTATTATCCTCTACTGATGAGCTCCGACAGGGAGCGAAACAGCTGTCTAGAGGCGTGGAGCAATATTATCTCTCAACGGAAGTGTCCTTGCTGGTGTATGTATGGTTCGGCTGAAGAGCGCGTGGTTGTGATGAGTTGGGAATGCAATAATAATAATAATAATAATACGTCGAAGTAATAATAATAATAATAATAATAATAAATGTACTAAGACCCAAAGGCAAGTGCATACAGGTGTGATGATCTAAACTAGCAAAGATATGTAGTATGCAATCCAGCAAGCGCAAGGGACACAAGTGGTGAGAAGTGATATACAGGCTTGTCAGCAAAGAGTCATGCAGTGCGTGTACGTGTACATGTGACATGATTAGAGGTCAGCATGGCATATAATAATAATAATAATTCGCGGGATTCGCGTTGGCATCGCTTGAATGTTCAGAAACACACAAACTAGCCTTCGCTTCCGCAGGCCACCACTATGCCTATGCCTTGCACACCTTAGTGGCGAATGCAGACCTCCAGCCTCACCAACTTCTTTGGATCGGTCGTCTCTGACCCAGAGCGACCTCCTTCCCTGCAAATCCCCCAAGGCCCCCGACAGCTCACCAGTTTCGCAAATTTCACCCCTGTCACTACCACTGAAGTCTGCAAGCTCCTCAAGAAGATCTCCCCTTTCAAATCCACCGGATCCGACGAACTCCCACCCCTTCCTCTGAAGATCTGTGCAGAAGAACTAGCCGGTCCCCTCTGTCTCATTTTCAACGAATCACTCTCCCTCGGTTCCTTTCCAGACATATATAAAGTAGCGTCTGTATTCCCCCTCTTCAAGAAAGGCAATCCAGAATGTCCCTCTAACTATCGCCCCATATCTCTACTCCCCATCGTATCCAAGCTTCTAGAAAAGATCGTCCTTCATCAACTGCAGCGCTATATCAACACCCACCCAGAGCTCAACATTCTTCCTCCCCAACAGTTCGCCTACCGCTCTGATCATTCCACAGAGGATGCACTTTCACTGGCTATATCAAAGTGGCAACAACGCTTGGATGACGGTCAGAACACCGGAGTGTTATTCTTGGACATGAGCAAGGCGTTCGACCGGGTCAAGCACCAGCCACTCATCAACGAGCTCTACTCCTGCGGTATTTGTGGCACAGCACTGTCTTGGTTCGCCTCCTATCTAAGCGCTCGTCGACAGACAGTGACGAACCCCTCCACAAAAACATCCGGCGACTCCGTGACCTGTAGTCGAGGGGTACCTCAAGGGCTCTGTCCTGGGCCCCGTTCTTTTCACAATCTACACAAGACACGTAACAGACGTCACACCAACTCACACATCTAACATACTCTACGCCGACGATATAGGACTCTACACATCGAGCAGCTGCATCAACACGATACAGGACCGACTATCAGAGAGCTTCGATGCGGTTAAATCACACCTCACGGAACTGGGCCTCCTACTGAACCCCGACAAAACTCAACTTTTAATCGTCCGCCGGAAGACAACCCCATTTCCACCTACCTTCACTGTCATCTGTGGTAACTTCCCAGTATCCCCTTCCCAGTGTGTCCGTTACCTTGGAGTGCTAGTCGACCAGCACCTTGCCTTCAAGGAGCAGGTCGGGAAAGTTGTTGCTGACGTCAACCGTAAGCTGGCCGCATTCCGCAGAATACGACATCACATCACCACCCAGGCACAACGTTCCTTTTACCTAAGCATTATCCAATCCACCATGGAGTACGCCAGCAACTGCTACGTTCACACGATATCAGCAACCCTATACAACACACTCATTCGATGCTTCAAACGTAGCCTCAGGATAACATTCGGCTACCCACCATGCCACCCAACCGCCACCATTTGTCAACGCCACAAAATTATTCCTGTCGCCATCCGTTATAACCTAAAGATATTTTGCCTTGTCTATAAATGTGTGCATGGCCGCCGCAGCCCTCTACTTGCCGAGATTTTTGTACTTAGATCAAAATAGCAACCATACGGTTACCAATGCCTTGACCAGGGGACAGTCCGCCCTGGCTTTAGCCCTGCCTAATGCTTCGTCACGGTACGGTTTCTATGCTTTGCCTTACCTGGCTGCTGACAGGTGGAATTCGCTTCCAGCAGCATGCCGTCAGGCAGCCTCCTTTGCAATGTTCAACAGTACTCTTCGCAGCCTCTTTTGCAACACATAATGGCACAGCATGCAGCCACCGTTTTCTTTTTTCTTTACTCTATTTCACGCACTTACGGCTTTCTTCATTCAGCTCTATTTCACGCACTTACCTAGGGTACCCTGTAAAAAGACTCACAGTCTGTGGGGATTGCCCTAGTATTATAATAAAACTACTACTACTACCTCACAAGTGAGTCAGGGGAGAGTAGGTGAGTCTCTCAACCAATCGGGCGTGTAACGGCCCATAACCCTGTAAACTGCATCCTTGTTACCCTCACTCCGAGCTGTGAGTACCCAGTTGACCGTGGGTGTCGGCGCAGTTCACCACGCATAAAAAGTCTTTACTCACGTAAAAAGTCTTTACACGCTCCCTGCTACCAGCGCGGGTCTCGAACTCGGGACCTCATGATTCGCAGGCAAGCCTGCAAACCAATCGGCCATATGCGTTGGCATAATGGTAGCTGTCAAAAGGTACATGTAAAAAGCCACTATGGATGCAGCACGAGGAAAATGGAATTATTTTCCAGCGATAGACTACATACACGTGTGTAGTCGACTCTCACGTGAGTCACGGTAACATGTACACACAGAGGCGACCATTTTTTGTTGGTTGCCATGACAACGGTCGCATCATTTTCGCGAATTGGGTTGATTTTTTTCAATTTTAGCCTGCTGCATTTATGGAATGCATACCGGCAAGAGTACATAACCCCCCGGGTTATGTACTCTTGATACCGGTTAAGCGGGATTCACAGAAGCTTTTTTGCGATGCGACACGCGATGCGACGCGATCTGCGATGGATGCGTGCGATGCGAACTCGCGAAATACCATTCACAGAAGAAGTCAGCGATGCGACAAAGTTTTGCTGATTTGGGTAGGTCACCATGATATTCGCGCGGTTTGACACAACTTGTAAAAATTTCAAGGCAACTCTTGCACCTTTGTACAACTTTGCTGTAGAAAAGGTCAAAATCGTACACCAAATCGCTTGTCGCATCGCATCGCATCGCAAAAGTTGAGCCAAGCTCAACTTCTGCGATGGCCTGCGATGGCCCTGTTGCGGCAGTTGCGTGGGGTCCGCGATGGTTGCGATTTGGGGATTTCCCGGTTTCGCGGCTGTCGCATCGCGTGTCGCATCGCAAAAAAGCTTCTGTGAATCCCGCTTAATGCCCCAACAAGACTGCATTTTGCATCCGCAACTTGGCAAAAATATTTCGAAAAATATGGACAACCCTACCAAGCTTGCAAGGTGACCTAGCACGACTCGTACCTGGTGACTGTAGACTGTACAGGTACTGACGTCATGACAAAATTAATCAAAATCAGTCAACTGTTTTGCCAAGGCAGCAAAGCATGGAGTCGTCAAATACGGTATTTGACGACTCCCTGCAGCAAAGGCGTACCTGCAGTCAGCACACTCCGCGTTTACGAGATCCCTCTCGTGCGAGTGGACCTACGTACATGTATACATGTACATGTACCTCCAGCGTGTGTGTTGGAAGGCAACGAGACCGAGTATACCCCCTTGCGGGAC